ACATCTTGATGCACATATACATACATACATACCAAATATATACATTAGACGTACCACCTTGCAAGCAAATAAAAAATCGCGTACACCTTCGAGTTCGAAGTATTTTGGCAAAGCAATTTCGAAAAAAAATTGTGGGCCGAACCCAGAGATTGTATTTTTACATTTTTCGGTGTTGCCTTCCTACATTCTACTGGAAAAATCGAAATATGTTCTTCCTTAGCAAAAGTTGTATGACTTTTGGCGAGCTTTAAATTGCTAATATTAGGGTGGCACGGTAGGGTGCAAACAGCTGAAATCTGATGGGTAAGTACTAGAATGGGTTACTTGTGGCGGTTTTAAAAACGTCGATACTCGTATATCATAATTTAAGATCCGACTGTAAACACCGTAGATATGACGATATATGTAGGAAGCCGGCCATATAGGAAAATCGAAATTGCATTCGAATCGAAATACTTTCTTAGCAATTTTGTGATAAGAGTTGAGGTCTGGTGGATAAGTACTAGAACACCGTGCATTACGTCAATAAACTATGGAGCAAAAAAAAATTTCTCTTCGAGGCAAAAACATCAATATATCATACATAATTGCAGATTTGACCGTAAATGCCGAAGATATGAAGAAAAAAAAATCGAATCGTAATACTTTCATTAGTGTGGTTCGTTAAGGTTGATACATAAGAGCTGAGATCTGGTGGGTAAGTACTAGAAGGTATACTATGAATGGTTTATACATAGAAAAAATTATAAATGAAGAATTTTTTTACTCTACTGGTATAGAGATGCAGTACTCCAAAATTTGGTAAAACTTGCTTATTTAAAAGGAAACTTGGAAATTTTATGAGCCGTAGTCAAGCGAAAGTAAGAAAATCTCTAGGCTATAGCATAAAGACTAAAACAAACAACAGAAGTTTAGAAACTTTTTCACTTCAGAGCAGTGGGCATGTTTAGTTAAAATGCCGTCAAGATGAACTAAACAAGGGTCACTAACTTGTTTGTGTTTTTTTTTGACGTCTTACGTTTCGATATAGAGGCTATGCTCAAATGTTGTAGTTGTAATTTTTAGAGCTTCACAAAAACGCTTATTGAACGAAAACTAGTGAAGCGATTTTAAAGAAAAGTGAGGTGTTTCAAAGATAAAATTCCTTCGACAGATTCATTTTTGTAAGTAACGAATTCGGCTTCTCACTTAGAAAAAACGATAAATATTGGCTTATTTTGGGGTTAATTTTGAGCCTTTAAAGTGCTCTAGCAACTTATAATTTGCAGATATAACTCTCATCTTCAGTATATAGGTTCTCTTGAGCAATTGAAATATTATCGTGTACAAATATATAAATTCAACACACATTAGCACACATTTTTTTATTATCAAAATGCTCGAAAACCGGTCGAATTATTTTGTTTTTGTTTTGTTTAGTCAAAATTTCAAGTTTTTCCCTTTCGTTTGGTATATGGGAAGTATTGGTTGATATCTTTTAAGTTTGTTTCATACAAATATATGGGTAAATAATGAGTTTTCATACAAAATCACTTCGTCATCATTTTGCAAACATGTGCGTGTGAGAGAATGGGACTAAAAGTATGTGTGTGTGTATTTCGGCTTGTGAGTAACAGATGTCGCAATATTTATAACCTAGTCGCAGCGTATGTATGTAAATACATACATACGAACACATCGCACACCGTCTTCAAAAGAGTCACAACTCAAAATAATACGTTCGTCAGAAAATGCGAAAAACTATTTCGTAGCACATGCTAATCATATGGGCAAGGACGACTTTTTCTTAGGTTATTTTAACAAATTATAACAAAAATTTGCTCCAGCTTTTGCTGAAAGGTAAATAAAAGTTCTGTGTACATTTTTGGCGCATAATTTCAAAAATGCCAAACTTTGAGTTGTCACTCTTTTAAAGAGGGTGTGCGATATGTCGATTGCACTAAATGTGGATCTTGTCATGTTAAATAAAAGCTTGTTTTTAAAAAATATATTGTTTACATTATTTATGTTATATGTACATAATATTATTATTAGTAGGCACATTGATTAAAAGGGTTATATGAGCCATTTATTCTGAAAGTGGCATAAGTCACTTCGTACCTTTTGTGCTTAAATGACCAGCTACTTGTAACCGAATGCATCTGTAAATCGCTCTATTGTCATAAAC